TTTTATAAATTTTCGTTATGCCTGTTTACACTAATATTGAATTAGCTGACATGCATTTTATGTACGGTCGTGCCAATGGCAATGCGAGGGAAGCGCTACGTCAGTATTTGAACATCTCATTTAACTCTATGTTGTTATTGATTGTTTATAAATATCATTGTTTTTTTATAATAATAAAAAATTGTTATAAACACAAAATGGTCCGTATCTCCGAAATCGTTAATTTGCGGTCATATATTTATTAAGACTTTTCTGCTTATTTTGGGTCATACTATTCACCATTTCATTTTGTGACACTTTTTTTTAACACCCTGTATATATATAAATATGAATAAATATAAAAAAATGAAAAAAATGAATGAAAATCAATAGGACTAATAAAAATTAATAAAAAAGGGAGTCATGTATTTTTTTATAATAATAACACGACTATTATGCGAGCAAAGCCGCGGGCAATAGCTAGTTTTCATATAAATGTATATCAATATCAATTCTATTTTGAGACATATACGTAATGTTAAACCTTTCAGCGAATTATATCTCTATCTGCCTCAAATTTTCATAGAATTGAATAATATAATATCTAGCTGTATATTTACTATAGTCACGTTAAAACATTATGCAAATGCTAGTGCAATTTCACTTTTATTTGTCTAACTTTGTATAAATACGCTGTGTTGCAAAATTGCATTTAAACGTTTAAGCGATTAGATATAATTTAACTAGTTGGTAGTTTCTGTAGAACGGTATATCAAAAAGGAGATGTAGTAGAACTGTATTTCTAAAATAACTTAAATTGCGCATCAGATTAGATAAGTTTCGTTAAGAAAAGCAGTTAGAATCCGCGGTGTAGAAAATGATTCTAGTAATTTTTGTATTTTATTTGCTGCAGATTCGCTGACTGGCATTATCATTATTCTGATAAATCTTCTTATACGGAGAGTATGGATTAGGTATATATCAATAGCAGAACATAAACTGAGTAACGATAAATTGTCAAAGTAGTGTAGTTTTGATTAAAAATTAATTAGTTATAAAACAAGTTGGTGTATTTAGTATGTAGAGATTAAAGTAATTAAACGTAACAATAAGATTAAATGTTGATATTAGATTTGTAATAAGAAAAGGGCATTCACGAATAAAACTACAATACAAATTTAAATACTAGCAAAGATGTTTTTATTTATTATATCGCAACAACGAATTTCTTATAACTAACTCATTATTATTTCTATATCGTAATTATCCACCGTAGTTTATTAGTAGTGTCATTAAAAAGCTGAAGAGAAAAGACAGGTTATTAAAAAAATTAAAGAGTGCTTCACTTTTTAATAAAAAATTTTAAAACATTTTAAAAACTTCAGATTTGTACGCTAATAAATATGTAACTGTATAGTGAGTAAAATCGTCAATAAAAACAAAACAAAAATGACAAAAAAATTGAAAAAAATTTACGAAAAAAAATGACAAAAATTTTACAAAAAAAATTACAAAAACTGACAAAAAATTTGACATTTTAACAAAAAAAATTAATTTAAAAACTTACAAGAAAAATTTGACAATAAACTTTTTATCAAAAAATTTTAAAAATTTTTACAAAAAAAATTGACAAAAAAATTGACAAAAAAATTGACAAAAAAATAAACAAAAAATTTTAATTAAAAAATTTACAAAAACAATTTTACAAAAAAAATTGACAAAAAATTTTGACAAAATAGCCAGAAAAATGTTGATAAATAAAATTTTGATAAAAAAAATTGACAAAAAAATGAAAAAAAATTAACAAAAATTTTGACAAAAAAAATTAACAAAAAATTGACAAAAAAAAGTAACCAAAATTTTGACAAAAAAAAATTTAACAAAAAAAAATTTCCTGACAAAAAAAATTGGCAAAAAAAAATCTACAAAAAAATTTGGCGAAAAAAAATTGCTAAAAACATTTGGCAAAGAAAATTTTGACAAAAGAAAAATTGATAAAAAATTTTGAAAAATAAAAAAAAATTTACAAAAAAAGACAAAATTTTACAAAAAAATGTCTATGGTCCCCCATTTTTCTATTTTTTTTTTTTTTAATTATATGTTTTGTTAAATATCTCGGCATGTGTTTGAAGTAGGAAGATGCGGTTAAGAGACCTACAGAACGGTATACAAAGTAACCCAAAAGTCCAGAAACGGCAAATTATCTCGTAAATTGCTAATCCTAATTGCACAAAATTTGGGGTACGCCTATTTTGGGATACGGAGATTCCAGATTTGATATTTGCAATGTTGCCAGATTTCTCTTATATTATTAGTCACTTTGGTTTTTCAAATTCATCACCCTGTATATTCGGTCTTTATTGGAATCTCCTATTCAATACGAGTTCAACCATATGTAACACTTATGATTTTATGTAGTCTGGAAGGTCTTAAATAAATAAAACCATCATAGAGAAATGTGGTAGACGCATTCTACCATCGATTAGGGTACTGTCAACTCACAAATGGAGCACATTTTGAACACTTAATAAAGTAACCATTATGTTAAAAATGTTATAATCTTTCAATTGTTACGTTTTAATGTAGTTGAAAATAGTTTGTATTTAAAAATTTATTGAGACAATTAGGCGTTTCCAGACTTATTTTATTTATTTAAGACCTTTCAGACTACGTAAAAAGTGTTACATATGGTTGAACTCGTATAGAATAGAAGGTTCCAATAATGACTGAATATACAGGGTGATGAATTTGAAAAATCAAAGTGACTAATAATTTAAAAGAAACGGCAAATCTGGCAACATTGCAAATATTAAATCTGGAATCAGCGTGTCCCAAAATAGGTGTACCCCAAATTTTGTACAATTAGGACTAGCAATTTACAAGATAATTGGCCATTTCCAGACTTTTGGGCCACTCTGTATATAAATATTGCGAAATCTCAAAATTTGTAAAATCGAAGACACTGAAATGTTCCAGTGGTCTCACCTTTAAACATTTTTTTATTATCAAAAAAAATTTAGACCAAAAACAAAAATTTGCAAAAAAACAATTTTACAAAAAAATTGACAAAAATCTTGAACTAAAAAATTTTGACAAAATTTGACAAAATAATTTTTATCAACGAAAGTGGATGGAATTATTGGATCACACACATCTGAATGGATAATAAATAATGGTCTTTTAATGAGTTTTATCTTTGACTTTAGCAAAGCTTGTTTTCCATATATCAAGCGAAAGTTGAATATTGTTTAAATATTTATTGTCATCTAAAAAGTCGATATTTTTCAACTGTAAAAATTTTTCTTGGTTTATATGACCTAAACCAGCATGCCACAGTTTATAATTATTTAATGTCCTTTCAGAAACAATATTTGCGTGCAGTTTAAATGGTTTATTTACTTTTAGAGTGACTGTTTTTAAATTATTTTGGAGCTTACCTTCTATTATTGTTTCGTTGCCCTTCATAATACTCACAGAACCATTTTTATTAAAAATAACTGCATACCATATTGTTGAATACGACGTTGATAGTTCCTTTTAACGTCGCTTTAATTGAGACACCAACTTTCTCCACTGAGATTTGAATTGGTTTGTCCAAATGTTTGTAACTTCACTTGGTTCACCATGTGGTCCGTAGCACCAGAGTCTATTATAACTGTTAAATCTTTTGTTGATTCACTTGTCTGCAGAGCTGTATTTACCACAATGAAGGCAAAACCCTTTTCACTATTTGGTTCTGTATGAACTGTTTGTAAAGTACGTTCACGATTTTCTCCTTTATTTTGATTTTTATTGTATGGTTTTTGCGTCCACAATGTCTACACTTTATATTAGAATGAAACGGTCCTTGTGATTTTCTATTTCCTTGATATGGATAATTTCTGTTTGTTGTTTGGTTGGAAAATTTTGCTCTTTGGTTATTATGTTTATATTTATTTGGAGTAAAGAACTTTTTAGTTTGATGCTTCTCTACTTGTAACACTTTACTACTGGTATCACTATTCTCGTTTTGCAACTTTGTTTCGTAGTCGAGTAATTTAGTTTTTGTAAATGCAAGACTCAAATTATCATTTGTTAAAGTATGAATTGCAGTTACTATACCATCATAGGATGTTGGTAGGGTGAGAAGTAGGCGGGCTATTTTAGACATTTCTGTTAAATTTTCTCTAGCCGCAAAAAGCTCAATCATTAATTTATCAAAAACTAAAAAATGTTTTGCTAACGTCGTATCATTCTTAAACTTTAAACTTAACAATTTCTTTTGAAGTGACAACTGTGTTGCTAGACTTTTTCTTTCATAAATGGAATCTAGTTTTTCAATAATTTGGCGGACTCGTGCTTCTTTTGTAACGTTACCTATCATTGTATCATTTAGGCACTCAGGTTCCATCGGAGTCTCCTCGTCGATCACTTTTATTGCGTCTTCTTCTGCGAGTATAGATCTTAAACGAAATTTTCAAATACTGTACCGTTCACCGTCAAATTGTCTAATATTTCGTCGGCTTTTATTGTTATCCATTATCACTAAAGTTAATACCAATAAACAAACACAAAACCGAAAGTAGAACACCGTATTATTAAACTGGGCTCATAACCTATTATATTTGTGAATGTCCTTTTCTTATTACAAATATAATAGTTGACATAATAAAAACTCAAAAAATCCTACTTAGGTACTAAAACCGTCCATTGTCACTGTAAAATAGATTTCGAAGTGCTTACTTATGCAAGTTATGGTTGCAGTACAGCGAACCCAGCGTAACACGATGCCACGAAAATGCAAGATTGCATTCTCACGTCCATTCAACCTTTTCTTTATTTCATGTAGAAAGTTCAGATTTAATTTAAAATTCATTGTAGTAACAAGTGATAAAATTTATATTTTTTGAATTTGTTAATTAAAAAGTTATTTTGGACTTAATCACATTTATTTTGCATTTTGTAGATAAATAACTATTGTACAAAGACCGAACTATTGTGTACAATTAAATTATGCTAAATAATCTTCTATTTGTACTTACTTTTGCATTGTAATTGCCAAATTCTGCTTGCAAAGCCAATCCGTTGAGTTCGACGATTTGCTTAAACGAACAAGGTAGCTGGTGTTCTATAATGGACCTTCTCAACTGCAAATAGAGTAGATGCTTAGCTTCGTTTCCTCTAAAACCGCGGAGGGTCGGCAAGAAAAATCTCACTCTAAGAAATAACGTAACGGTAGTACCCTGTTGTGTTTCTTCTTGGAATACTTTAGAAATTCTGGTATCCGACGGCAGGAAAACGAAATCGCCGGATATAAGAGCGGAGAGACCAAACATAAAGTTTTCTTCTATGTGCTCTTTTTGGATTATTTGCTGTAAAAAGGAACATAATATATAACAAACTGCTGAAAAACACTTTATGTTCTATAAAGCATTCATGAACGTAATCATTTAACCCTTTGAAGACTATTGGTATAGTGAGAAGCAGTGATCGAAAATGTAAAATTTTGCATCGCTTAATACCTAAATTCCCATTTTATCCACCCACGGTTTTAAAAATTACCCACTTTTTCCACCCACACTAAAATACATGTTTTTCAATATATGTTTTATCGACAAAAAAAAGTCCTGCATCACTTATTAATAAAATATTAAGAATTTGCAAATACTTTTAAATTACAAGAATTAAAAAAAAAGTATAATTGTTCAATAAATAATCCAAACACCAATTGTTAAAGAATGTGATTGGATTTTTTGTATTTTACATTTTTGATGCTTGATTATGGTTGTCCAAATGACGCAACTTTTTTCGTAATACTAATAACAAAATTATTCTATTTGCTCAAAATAATTTAGGTGACATGCTGTATTGTCACCACTGAACTTTAGTAATTGTCATAGATAGGTAGTAGGTATTCTGTGGTGTTTTTATGACAAAATGAGTAAGAAATAAAACTATACCTCTGAAAAACAGATTATATTAAAGACAAGCATTTAAGGACTCTTAAGTCTAACATTAAATCTTAATTTAAAAAATAAATTTGATGTAATCATTGGACCACTTTGCATTGGCTCAAAGTTTTATTACCCGATAACCTCTTTAGGGCTTAGTTTAGACTTGGTACTTACCTCGAACAATTGTCCAGCCGTACAACTTGAATTACAGAGTACGTCCAATTTTTGTCCATCAAGCATAATTACCGTAACGATTTTGCCGTTGTTTACTTTCACATCTGACATTAACAGTTGCTTGCTGGGCAAAGAGGCTCTAACGACGAATTCGGGGCCCACGCACTCTTTAGTCCTGCCGTTTTGAGTCTCGTCCTTTACCTGGTATAGCCGCGAGGCGGCTCTTTGTACAGGATTTCGTCGAACTTTCAGTCTTTTGTTGTTGATACCCTGTAACAATTTAATTACACAGATTATTGAGAATTTGAATGAAACTAATTATATAATATTGTTGTAGGGCTTATTACAACTTTATTTTGGATGGTTCAAAATTGATCGAAAACATTTGATCGAATACAGTAGGGCACGTCCGTTTTTAGCCATTATGAATGCCTTATTATTCGGACATCGTTTATTTTATTCGCTTACAATTTGCGACTTAGTATTCCAAACTTTACAAGTTCATTACTTTAAAATTCCTATAAAATGGACATCGTTGGTTTTTTTCCCTTGCCCTACAATCTAGAGAAGTTAAAAAGGAATTTAGAACAACAAGAGAATTTAAAAACCAATTTAGAGCAACAAGAGAATTTAAAAACTAATTTAGGACATCAACAAGAAAATTTAAAACATTAACAGGCTAGAGTAGAGTTGGAAAGGCAAATTAGAACTAAATTCAAAGCCAAGCTTCAGTAAGCAACATTGAAGCTGAAAACACTGCCTCGTCTTCATCTATAAGCGACCCAAGCCACATTCGAACCCCAGTCTCACAAAACCATAGTAGCAAGACCCTAAAGCCACCCACATTTGATGGTCAGACAACATGGGTAACATATCGACTCCAATTTGAAGCTGAAGGAAGATTCAATGGTTGGGCTGAGAAAGAAATGACGGCTTCATTGATAGTGTCTCTGTGAGGACAGGCAGCAACCATTTTACAGTTACTTTCCCAAAAATAACCCAGGTATTCATCGCTCGTTCAAGCTTTAGAGACAAGATATTGCCAGCAGCATTTGAAACGGGTATTCCAGACAAGATATTGCCAGCAGCATTTGAAACGGGTATTCCAAAGTCTTAGTCAGAAACACAATGAAAGTTTACAAGAATTCTAGGAAGATATAAATGATTGCTGCATTTGGCGCCCAAAGATTTCTTAAAACAAACCGGCATACAGGTATTAAGTGATGTGGAAATGCAGCAGCCTCTTCGGCTACAACACTTTAAAGACATTGAGACGTTGAGTGAGACACTGATTGCAGCCCAGGAATATGAAGCAGCAAAAAGTATATCTAAATTTTATCACTTAAAATTGAGAAAAAATTGGTTCCAGAAAAGTTTAAGAAGCCATTACTAAGACTATCCCTCAAACTACCCTCTCACAAATCTTAAATATCCTGCAAATTATACAACAAAATAGCCAAAGCGAGAGCAGAAGGTGCTTCAATTGCGGAAGAATCGGATAGCTTCAAAGAACCTGTCGAAACAGGGCTCATTCTATAAATCGCGAATCGGAGAATGATGTTAGAAATAAACCTAGATCAACCTCACAAAGTCCAACATATGCCTCCCGGAAAAGCCGGTCACCCCATACCTAGCCGGCTTTCTAGTAATAATCAGGGAAACGAATAAAGGTCGACTCTACGGGGCAGGTGTCGGCTGTAACAAAGGGCCCAAAATTTGCATTTACACTTTAAATATAAAAACAAACAAAATCTATTGGTCAAGAGGTATATCGATAACCAAGAAGACACCTTCGCCTTTGAAACTGGTGCAACCAAGTCTTTAGTTCGAAGAAGGATTCTGCATCGAAAACCGCGACCAACTCGAAGAAGCTTAGTTCTGAAAACAGCTACAGGATACACTACTGCTGTTCTAGGCGAGATATAAGCAACCATACAGATTGGTAATACCCTTGTAACCTTCCGTAAGGGTAGTTACGTTTCACCGGATAGGGTCGTTCAGTCAGAGACAAGATGAGAATGTAAAATAACGGTTTATTTTAAAAATACTATATACAAAGTACTATTTACAAAATGTATAACCCCTGGACAAAACAAATCGTTTTGTAAGGATTTGTGTAGATGATCCGGGTGGAGCTCATTATATTTCGGCGGTCGTCGGATGGATGGATGAATGTCTCGTCGTAAACCAACGTGCTACGATGAGACGAGCAAGGGGTCGTTGGGGCAAGGTCTGGTCAGGTATACGCGGTAGTCTGATTTCTGGACCCTTGTTCAAGTCAGTACCTTGAAAGGGACGAACTAAAGCCAAATCAGTACCTTAGGAACGGGAGATACAGAACGGTACGAAAGTCAGTATCTTTCGCACCGGGGAGGTTGTACCCGACAGATTAATACCTTGACGAACGGGGAGAAGGGTTATCAACAAGTCAGTACCTTTCCGATGGGTCAGAAAGCCTCTAGAGTAAATACCTAGAGTGCCGTGTTGGATTTTTCGGTCGGCTTTATATATCCACCAGGTCTCTGTAAAAACTCTACTTGTTGAAACCATGAATCATTAGCGGTTTTCGCCTGAACATCATTACACCCTAATAGAACACTTATTTCTGGTAGCCGATATTAAGGATCAGTGCCATTATTGTTGACCTAGCCGATTTTTATATTAATCGATTAAAGTCAGTACGTGTCTAGTCTAATGTTATATTTACTTTTATCAAGGACGTACTTATGAATTGCATTTAATGTTTATCAAAATATTATATAAAATATTATGCTAAATTATTTAATTTAACGAATGTATATTAAAATAGAACATGTATATTTTATATATAGGGTGATATTTGTTTAGCGTGACAATATAGAAGTACCTCAAAATTCTGAAATTGTCGTCTAGGCGATGCTTAACGAGAAACCACACGGTTTACGTATGGGCATTGTGGAAAGTGACGAATTTGTATGTGACAGAATTCTGATAGCTATATATCTCATTAACGTAGATCAACTAATTCCAGTTGCCAATATATCATTTAAACTAAAGAAAGAACAAGATATAGGGCTCTCTGTACAATCAAATACGAAGACCGTTCCACGGAGAAAGCCACCATAAGCAAATCAGTTGACGCCAGCTTTGTAAAACAGATAGTTAAAAATTATGACCACCTGACAGCTGAAGAACCAAGGATAGCCAAGGACTTCATCAATACCAGCTGTAAAATTTTCGAAAGAGGAAAGTCTACTGGACGTACCAGTCTTATTCAGCATATAATTTATACAGACCGTGCTAGGCCAATAGGGCTAGCACCTAGAAGATATCATTCGTTAAGCAGAAAGAAGTAGCAAATATTTATATAATGGATGCAAATAGTATTAAAGAAGCTACAAGTTCCTGGTGCTCACCTGTCCTAGTAACTAAGAAAGACGGATCTACACGTTTCTGTGTAGATTATAAATGATTAAATCAGATAACGCAAAAAGACCGCTATCCACTCCCTTGAATAGACGACACACTAAACACTCTATCAGGTCCAAAATGGTTTTCCACGCTTGACTTGAAGAGCGAATACCGGCAAGTGGAAGTACACACTGACGATCGAGACAAAATAGCTTTTTCAACTGGCAGTGGATTATACAGACTCCAGGTTCTTCCGTTTGGTCTCTGTAATGCCCCAGCTACTTTTAAACGACTAATGGAAATGATTTTGAGAGGATTACCTTGGAAAACTTGTCCAATATATTTCGATGCGATGCATCCCAACACGCCCTGGGCGCTGTGTTATCTCAAGAACAGGAGAGGAGAGAAAAAGTAATTGCGTATTTTAGTAAGACATTGGAAAAAGCTGAGAAGAATTATTGCGTCTCTAGAAAGGAACTTTCAGCTATTGTCAGAGCCGTTGAACATTTCCATACTTACGTATTAAATAAAAGTTTTATCATTAGAAGTGACCATAGCGCCTTGTAGTTACTGATGAATTTTAAAAAACCCGAAGAACAAGATGCTAGATGGATAGAAAGACTATAACAATATAACATTGAGATAGTGCACTCCATAGCAACGGAGACATTTTATTCAGGCGACCTTGCTTACAACGACAATGTCGGTTTTGTAAAAGGCTAGAAGAACGAAAGAAGCTGATTGAAGAAGTTAGTCTTTAGTCGAGCACTATCAAGTCAGAGAATGACGACGACGAAATTACCATTGAATAGGGACTCTTGGTTGATCTCTGTAGAACATTCCATTTTCGAGACTTTTTAGTTTTAGTTCTACTCGAACATGAAATCTATGTACATTATAAAATTCAAAAGATGCAAATTTTTATCAAGGGCCAATTTCATAATATTAATTTATTAATTTAAAAAGTTTGGATGAAAATTGTTTTCATAACCCTTGATTCTACGCCAATGTGTTATCGTAATTTATCGAAATAAAATGTATTAACTAATAATAACGATTAACTAACATATACATATTTGTAAGTTAAAACCGTTACCATAAGAGAAGATATTTAGAAAAACATATTTATGAAATTCACATTATCACCCTGTTAAGATCTATAAGACCCTTGTTCACGGTACTTTATTTTGAAACACCCTACATATAGGTATAATAGTAATGCTGAAATCAAATTGTGAAATAACATAAAATAATTCTGGTCTACACTATCCCCATTCCTCGCTCAACTGTCAAGTAATTTAAACAGTTCAAATTCTAAAAAACGAGTTCTATAATATTTAGAACGTTCCGTTTCCAAATCTAGCTTTTAAAGTCATTTTAAAGATGATCCTGGGATGTACATATTTAATATGAATAAAATTATATTTACCACTTAATTTTATTTTAGGGTTGGGACACAAAGTACCCAGATGTGAAACCCGGCAAAAGGTCAAAGGATTTTGAAATGAGATTTCTATGACTTTTTAATGAATACGGCCAATTTTAATTATTATTTTTAATCATTCTTAATAAATACTTTCTTCTAAACATACGTTTTCAATCAGGGTTGGTTTAAGTCATTAATGGTTTAATTTAAAGTAGTAGCACTTGTGATGTCTGAAAAGTTATCGATAGAGTTACATTTTCAAACATTAAAAGAAATGACATATGATTTGTATTAATATTTTCAAAATTGTGTTATAGGTATATAAGGTAAGTATACCAGTAGTTGACAGTGCTCCAAAAGTCGACACCTCAATTTTATACTACCTAAAACAAGAAAAGTCTGCAAATCTAAAGCAAAATATATCATTTGGCATCATTGTTAGTACCTACCAGTG